CACAAGCTGCTGGCCTGCTCCAGCTGCCTGCGCATCCCTCCAGCTGCCGAGGTACGGCTCAATCACTAATTCGGGGCTCCCTGTTGATGCTGGCTCTGGCACAGCGGTGGTTTCTATGGCAACTCCAGAGGCAGATGCAGGGATGGCTTCAGCTGAGGTACCACCAGCCCAGGTATCCCAGGATATTCCTCCTGAAACACAGGCAAACGGCCATGCGGCATGTCAGGATGGACACTGGGATCGCCACACCAGGAGGGCAGTGGAGGCGATGGGGCAACGACACCAAAAACCTTGCGAATGCTCTTCTCTGAATTGTTTCCAACTTTTCCCACGCCACAATGCCCCAGCAGATGGTGCAGCCTGCCCCAGCGGTGTGCCGGATGCTGTCGCACTCTGCTGGGATTTGGCCTTCCATCTCTCTGGCTCTGCTGCCTATCTGAGGATCATGCTGGCTGCCTTCTCCAAAAGGTCAGGCATCTGCACTTGATATTTACCTGGACCTGTGAGATATTTCTAATGTTGTATCAGTGAAAGATCGAATCCCTTGCCTGCGTCTGCGACTATCACTCTCTACTTTGGGGTGCGTGACTCTGCATGGGGCAAAGACCGACGAAGCTCAGGCGAGCCCACAGCACTGGGCAATCTGGGAGGTCATCGCCCCACCTGTGCACCCCCAAACGTCACCCACAAACACCACCAGCACAAAGCTTACCTTTCCTTCCCGGTGCCAGTAAGCGGGAGATGTGGTGTTCTTGCCTGGGAGAGCTGGACACAGCCGGATCCAGCTCTCCTAAGCACCAGCCACGATCCATCCTTTGAGACAGGGCTGTGGTGCTGGATGGGGCTCAGGAGCCCCAGCACCGTTAGGCATCTCAACTTATTTCTCAGCATCCTGGCAGCCCTTGCCATTCCTTGCCCTCTCTCGCACCCCGGCTGTCTCTGATAAAGCCCCTCTCCTGCTGCTGCCTTCACCCCCCGCAGCCCATTTCTCCTTTCCTGAGGGCAGCCGCCGCTCAGCTCTCCCTCTCCAAAGGACGGCCGGATCCTTACATTGCATCGCTCCACTCGCCCTGACAATGGGGAAAGGAGCAAGAGCCATCCCTGCCCCACAGCACAGGGCTCTGCCAAGGAAGCTTTCACTGGGCTCTCCCTTGGGAGAGGCTTTTCCTGACAGGCTGCGACACATCCCTGCCCGTAGCAGGATAACCAGGGATGACACGACTCCGGCAGGGTAAAATTCCATGTGTTTCATTTATTTGAGGTGCTACATCACCTCCTAGGCACTGAGCTACAGGGCACCTCTGTGCTACATGAGACATCGACTGGGTCTACGACGACACAGCACTCACTGCTACACACATGGCACAGACACGCTGTGGCACGGAC